AGGGACGATCACAAGAGGGTTCCAGCTCCCTTGTTGTATTCGAATCGCAAAAAACGCAATCTTTTAGATATTTCCATTTTTTCCACAAATGATATTAACCTGACTTATCTGTTCCGTCACTCCATGACTATCGTAGAGTGGTGCGCAGACTTTTGGCTCGTCCGAGCTTGCACGCGGCAAATCGCGCGGCGGGCTGCGCGGCGATCCGGACGAGGCAAACTTCGCGGGCTTTTGCAGTGGAATTGAATACGTCAAAGCGTGTACAGACCGCGGATAAAATCCGCATGGTTCTGCGATTCGCAGTGTTGGTAAGGAAACTCAAGTAAGAACAGTTGAGAAGGAACTAGCCTAGTGCTGTCATAGCGATCAAAGCGCTCATGTCTTTAGGGTGAGGGCTTTTCCAGGGGGATTACTGTGCTGGGGACTACGCCTTAGGGGTGAGGGGAAGATAGAAGAGAGAAGGAGAGAAACATCACCTCTCTCGGAAGGAGTTCTGGAGGAGATTGTGAGCAGTTTGTGTTCTCCCTGGCGTTTCTCCCCTGTGGGCTTAGTTCTAGTCACCTACCATTGGCCCTGTTTTGAATGTTCCTTCTAATGGCATGAGCGCCGCGATCAGTAAATAGTTGACACTAAATAATCTCACCAAAACTCTTTAGTGTTTCTTATCACTTTGAATGATAGTTGTGCCATTTCCTGTAGGTTTCCTCTCTCAACTCTTTGCGCTGACATCTCCTAATTTCCTGCTTTGAAATCTCCGCGCGTAAATAGTTTTTCCGAACCGCAGAATCGTGCGGGGTTTATCCGCAATCTGCACACCCTTTGACGTGTTGAATTCTATTGCAGAGCCCGCGAAGCCTTGTCGTCGAGATCGCCGCGCATGCCGCCGCGCAACTCGCCGCGTGCCAGCCCGGACGAGCCAAAAGTCCCGCACCCCGAAGAGTGTGTATCTGAAGGCAGTGGATGCGATGTCTACGAGGTGACGGCAGTTTGTAGTGTCACTAATGCTTGGGAACTTCGAGTTGCCGATGTGTGGTGGAACGGCTTTCAACGCCCTAGCACCACTGACCTATCCAAATGTCTTTTGCCTGCAGTTATCGCGTCACTGCCATCAAAGAAATCCTCGAAAAAATCGTGATTCTACATATCTCACCATAATTCACTGGCTTGGGACCCATCGTTCACGATAAGAACGAAAAGAACAAAAATTGCATTTGTTTTGGTAAAAATTCGAAAAACCGAAAGGGCTGCTACGCGTTCAAAGTACCGCCGGACATCTGTCACAAATGCTGGCGACGGGAATGCTTCCACTTGGTTCTTGGAGTGCCGTCACTAGAAACTTTCTGGCCTTTTGACTTATTGCATTCACATCTCACACTTCTACTGCATCCTATTCTATCGATCGATTTGTCTCTACTCTCCAAAATCGCACGCTTTAACCCGATTCTTTCATTGCGTCGCCTGATACGTAGCCGCCCCAAGGCGGACTTCTTTCCATGCCCGCCTTTGGCTCCGCGCGACTTACCTTCGATGTCCATAGAGTGTGGTTTTCGTAAGTTTGTTTCTCTTCGGAAACTTAATCTTCGTGCGTGAAACTTTGTACGTTTAGTGGTCACAACTGACTTAGGTATTTTGGGAAAAAAGATGCAAGATTTTGAGGGGAAGGATTCCTTTACCATACAAATGCTCTGACCCATGTATTCTAGAGTACTTTTCAGGTTAAATACTGGTGCGGCAGAAAAGCCGCTTTTGGTAACAGCTACGCATCGTTCATATATGGAGTAAATATTGTTGGATATATAGTGACATTCTTTCTGATTTCTGCTTCTTATTTCAAATCGCGATTTTGGATGGATTCAAAGTGAGTGTTCAAATCATGAAGTGGTGGTACTATTGGAAAACATAGAAATTGCGGTAGTGCGAATTGAGAGGTTTTTGTCGTGAGTCGAAAAGTAGTTATGAGTGTTCTTGAGGGCCGGTGCAGAGCGAAAGGGGTGAGAGACGATCCCGCCGCGAGCTGCGGCTGTTTCTGCATTGAGGCGCATCACCGCTTCACGTTTCCTTTGTGGGCCGGTGTCGGACTTTGTGAACCCAGCGATTCGCTAGTGAATCGCGAGATACGAGCGATGCACCAGGGGTCCGAACGATGTGCCAGCGGATCGAACGATGTACCAGCGACTCGGCAGTGTTTGAAAGTGGCGGAAGACCCTGCCGTTCGCACGTTGACTCTCGCCACTTTCCCGGCATTCATGCCCACGTCAGCCTGGGAAAGTGACAGGAGTGAATATGCCAATCAGAGGGACTCCCGCCACTTTCAAACACTGCCAAGTCGCTATTACATCGTTCGATCTGTCATCGCTCGCACCCCGCATTCGCGAGCGAATAGCTGGATTCCCAGTCTCGCATCGGCCGTACAGGGATTCATGAGAACTTCATAGACTTCCTGAGATGGAACCGCTTGGCTAATTGCGTCTGTAAACAATCTAAGGGATATGATAGCGCTGATCGGGAAGGTCTTCTAAGGCAAGCCAAGTTCCTTTCAAAAAGATTTTTGCATGATATGGGAACACGTTCATGAACCATAGAACTACGGCACATTTTTCCCAAACGGCTTTCTGAATTTATTTAATGAAATCTTGATTTTGGCTCAACTTTGGAGAATTGGACCAGCCTCGGCCGGCACAACCTGTGATTTTCCCCGCGGCTTGGAGACGATCTCGGCCTACAAAGTTAGAGGTCGTTCTATTGGTTAACACACTTAATAGAGGCTTCTACCACATTGTAGGGCCCTCTCACGCCACGTTGCCATGGCCATCTTGAGCGTCTGCCACTTCCAGTATAGGGGCAGGATTTCGCATTTTAGAGTTTCTAGAGTACGATTACAAGAAGATAGCCCCCAAATCATCCATTGTCGAGCCTGACGGGCTACTAATTTACTGTAGGTCCAGCTGTTCGAGGTTGGGTGAAAATCCTAACTTTCTCTGAAATTCCGCTGTAAAGGCTATCAATGCACTGATAACGAATACGACAATAGCTTTGGAGCGGATGTCATCCGGCTCATTATAAAGCCATTCGCCATCATTTTGAGACCGTTTTGGTGCAACAACTTTTCTCACCAGCTTTTACTGCCAACACCATTGGTTAAGCGGTGACAGCTACTTACCTGATGGTCCTCATTGTGATCATGGCATCTATTCTCGGTGCTGATGCTGGTCTGGTCTAAATTCAGAATTTCTGAAGCGCCAACTCAAAATGCAAAAGTGTGTCACCACGAAGGAATCGAACCGCAGACTATCATCATCCTTTTTATGGTATTCAGAGGGCCGTTGGAACAAAAATGAACCATGTTTCTGTGTTTCCGCACGTTTCCCTACATCATGCAGAGACTTGGAAAAGCTTGGCACGCCTTGAAAATCACCCTTGTGAGATTTAAGCTCTCCTTGAAGGGAGAAGAACTTCAAGGTGCGTGAGCAGTTTTCTTCTTCCTGAGTTACTCACTGTAGGCTTGGGGCCTTTGCCTCTCGCTCCGGAAATGATGGATATCAACCCTTTTCGTGCTTAAGCACGAAGCAGGAAAGATCAGGCATATTCGCAATCACCTGGGTGTTACTGCATTTGAAACAGAAAGAGGAGGTGAGAAGTGCATCGCCAATATTGAAAAAGGAAAAATCCGCAGAATCACTGAAAATAAGAGCTCTTCGGAACGGTGGACGTGGATCGCCGAACTCCGCGTTATCAACCGATAACGGTCGGAGATAGATAGTGTTGGACGAGCGTAACCCTATGGAAGATACGATACGATTAGATAAGAAGATACGGCTGCTTGAAATGAGGTGCACTCCAGCATGAAAACGAACGATAACGATAACGTATCATATCTAGCACGCTGCTGTTGCATCCCCTTCCACGTCTGATAAGGAGGTGCAACGCCGAACCGGAAGTGGGTTTCGGCGCCTTATCACGCCGTTGATAAGGCGCCACTGCCCCTGAAGCGTCACCTGTCGTCCCATTGGGTAGGACCCCTACCCAATCCACTATGTCACTTTCCCTATCGTCTCCATAGGAATTTCCGTGACCACTTCCTTAACTATAGAAATGAGAGAGCACAGCGACGCGCGACCCAGGCATACGCTTTCGGAACGGATGGTAGCCGGAGTAACACAAAGTTGGGAGCGGTAAGCCGTCTCTAGAGGCCCTTCCACGCTCATGGGTGGCAAAAGTAGGCGGAACACTACCTCTGCGGCTGCGAAGCCGGCTAAGGACAGGAACTGAAAATGAAAATGGCGCTTACAACTTGTCCCGTTTTTGACACAAAAACCATGTTTTACGCGGTTTTAAATGCATTGCCATCATGATGCCCCGTCTATTGCGATACTGCATTGTGCCAAATCTGACTAGTACCGCAAGCCTCTGAAAACCTATTGTGAAATGTTCGAAATAATGAAGAATTGATTAGTCCAAGTATTCAGTTTCTGTGAAGTCCTTCTCGTCCACCGCTAAGATGAAATTTTTGTTTTAAGAATGTCGAAAATACAACAGGCGAAGATCAGGTATCAGTTGATAATTTCTGTGTTATCAATCATTCTCATCTCTATACCTAATGGACTATCTTTGTTCGCACAATATATAACAGCGGTGAGTGGTTTGAATTCACCTGTGACATTTCCTGTGCGAGACACGATTCTGATTATGTTTGATTTAACTCGACGAAGCGTGTTGCGCATGCCACATTTCTGCACGAATGAGCGGATGCATTTTGCTCGACTTATTTGGCATTTCATGATTCAAATTTCTTAATACTCATAATTTCACCCGTAAAACTGTTTTCCGACGCTATCGCAATATATGGAGGCATTGTTGCGGCAACGCACTTAAAATCACGTGAAACCTCACCTTTTTTAAAAATGGGACCAAGCTAGGCGTGGAGGAGAGAATCCAGCGTGCGTGAGCACATTTGATTTTCTCCAAAGTTGCTGCCCCCTCTTAGGGTTGGTCCTAGAGGATGTCTCCGTAGCCCATGAGACGAACCGGTTTCCACTATCTGGGGCCCCTTAATTAGTAGGAGAAACCACCCATTTGTCCATCGGCTGCCCCTGCGTCACTCCACATTCCAAATCGCAGTAAAAGCCTCACTAAGGTTCTGAATGGAAGTAGAATGCATGGCTTAGCCCAAAAAAGAATGGTTGACGCCGGTTCCTGTTTTTACTTCAATGTATAATATTAAGCTCTTTCCTCTGTGATATATTTAAGTAGTTTCTGTGAATACTGGCCATGAAAATTGTTTTCCTCCTTTAGGTGGCTGATGCAGTAGCTAAACCGTCAACGTATTTGATATGTGTGAACTCCTCCATCAACATTTTCGTCTATTTGGCTCTCTATGATGAATTTCGAATGGAATTCAAAAGGTGTATTCTACGAAAAGCACCGAAGGCTAGCAGTATCACAACAGTCACTTACTTCTGAGTTGAGTGAGATGAGTTGAGTTGAGTCTTTCAGCAGCCGTCTGTAAATATTTGTTCTTCCCAGGTTGGAGCAGGATTCCACTCTTTGTAAACACTGAGGCACATTCCACAATTTCTTGAAGAGGAAGAACCCTCGCGCGAGAGAGGTGGTCTAATCCGCAAGCCCATGCTGGTGTCGAAAGTGCGTCTCGACCTTGTGAGGCAACGCGGACGTGCCCGTCAGGCTCCCCTGACTCCCCCTCTAACCCTTAGATTAACCCTTTTACTGGAGACTAGTGAAGTGGTACACGTGAATACCCATTCCGTAGTCAAAAACACTACCACAGTTTTGGAGCTATTGAGACAAGACCGCCCGCTTGATGGCGCATTTGTGAACAAATGGAACCTTAAATTCCTACTCTGATAAATCGTCACAAATGAGGGAGATTTACCCTGAATAAATTAGTAGAGCAAGTCGTTCTCTAGTCAGTGTGCGTAGTTCTGGATCAGATCCCTGATCAAATCCAACGTACTTGAGCCAGATTTGTTAAGGTGATTAGCTGCTGCTGGGAGCGATAGCTACTTCGCAAAGCACATCGATAGCTTTGTTTCGAAAATCTCGTAGTCTGAAAGTTAAAACCGATGTGATGAGTGGTGTTTGTGTCTTTAACGCTTTCACCCTCTCTCACTACTTCCTCCGCATCTGCTTCCTCATTCCCCATCACCCGGTGTTTCGTCGTCGAATGATCGTACAGTGCTTAAAATGGGCTGCAAACCAAAGACCCAATTCAGACCATTCAGGCGGATTTTGCTTTTTTTCTCAATGAGCCCCTTACCACCAGACTTACAGGCCGATTTCAAGGCACGCTTTCCTAATTCTAGAACCGTGGAATGCACGTAGTATTATAGATTAAGGTATGATGTAACGGCTGGCAATTATTGATAGAATTTGTAAATAACAATGTGCGGAACATTGATCTTGTACTTATTTACACCCATAAGTTCTCAACTTTTCATGTAATGGCTTTGTTCAGAGATTCATGTGAGGATTTTATGTTCGTGTGTACCTGCACCATGCAAAACTGAATTGTATTACATTGCACTCTAAAAAATTGTGCGCAAAAAGAGCTTTAATCTGCGAATTTTGAAATTTTTGCGATGATAAATGTTTTCTTCAACAAAATATTCTGCACACTGATGGAATACCGTCTTTTCTTACTCAAATTTAGCAGTGATCCGTTAAGGGAGAAAGGAAGTACTCTTCATAATTACATTCGCTGCACCGAACACTGAGTGAGCATCTTGAGTGCGACCAATCTTAGTAGCGGGAGTCGGACTTACCATTTCTGCTCTCCGCGGGCGTTGAGAGAGGAAAGGGATCGTATGGAGTTTGTATGGTCCAGTCGACCAAAAGGGAGCGTTTTGTAGAAGGATTACGAGAATTAGCTTGGAAAAATTCGTGTAATACAAGTGGTCCTTTTCCAAAAGTTTAATGAAGTTGAAAGTTGTTAAGGCTTTTCAACTGTTTTATTGTAAACTCGTGATTGCACTTCCTGCAAATACGGCCTTCCGCTTTTAGCTTCCATGATTGGATAACAAGATTTCGGAATGATGACAGTGACGGAGGATGAGGGGAACGGACAGGGTGCGGGAACAGAAAGGAGCGTCAAGAACCGTTTTGCGGAACTGTTTTTGGCCTTGCTCTCGTCTTGCTCGATGGCACACTACGCACGCTAGCTTTCCTAGTGGGGCGGGGGGCTGTGGATGCAAGTACTGCCCCATTTTCTGAACACCTGATAAAGGTTGCCTCGAGCTTGAGTGCAAAGCAACGCTTATTGGGTAAGAAAACATAGCAGTCATTGTGCTAGCGCATTTCTCCATAAGTCTTCAAAACGTGTATAGAACGTTTCGGAACAGGTCGTAAGTGGCAACAGTATAACGTGACAAATTAGGTAAAAGTAAAAGCACAAAAAGTTTGGCGCTTGCAATTATTCACAAAATAGCGAACATGCTGTTACTCTTCCAATTGCTTCGATCACGGATCGAAATAGGCAGAAACATTGCTCCTCTCTGAAGGAACCGTTTACGGAAAATCCTCGTCTCCATCCTTACCAGAAATCGGTAGCTTAACCCTCCGCTTCACTAGCATAGCAAAAAGAACGAAAAGTAAGCGTCGGTTTCGATATTAATCCAAAAATCCGATGAGGCCACAAGAAATCTGAATTCCTGCCGAAAACTGCTACAGCTGTTGGCGTCGGGGAGCCAGTACGTGAAACCGTGCTGAAAGCGTAGAGGTGAGGTTTCATGTCATCTGACTTTCCTCTTTTAGACGTGTTTATTTCGATATTCCAGGCCAGCGTAAGATACGTCACATATTGCTGGCCATTTGGGTGTGAAAACCTGATTTGCAGGACGCATTGGTCTCAATGGGTACCAAAATAGTTTCCCCAAAATTTCACGTTTCTTCTAACCTGTAAGCTGATAGAGCATATCAGAGTGGTTTGACGTCTGCCTGAAATAATCACAAACCGGTGCAGGTTTGTGATTATTTCAGGCAGACGTCCTTATGCCCTCTTATCAAAGGAGCACAGGAGCGCTAATTGGAAGATGCGTTTCCAAACTTGTCTTCCGAATAAAATACTAGAACATTTTACATGCGGCACATATAACAGCAGCGCTTGAAAGGAACCAGCTGAAGTGATCTGATGGCGCAGTGGTATGATGGGGGCGTTCCGCCTGCAAAGGGCTGGGATCGCATTCCCTTAGCGTACAAGTTTTGCTTATCGACAATCACATGTCGTCTAGGCTCTTTTTCGAAGATTTACCACATCTTTCCAGCTCAGAATACGTTTCAGCTCTGAGTGGGCTCAGATGGAACGACAGTATGCTCAAGCTGTGTAGTTGTAGGGTATACACACCATTGAACTCCCTTGCAGCCGAATTGAGATGTCCTCCGAATGGCTTGTCATGAACTAGGCCTAGATGTTAGACACGCTCGTGTCTCTAGTGGCTGGCTGCC